ATGCACACAGAGAGCATGGGAGAAATGCCTTGTATCAATCTCACATTCCAACCCTCTGCCTCCATCTTCAGTTACAGGTTACGGAACCTTATGCAAGCAAGGTGTTTTGAATGTCAAGTTGGCTTCTAATAATGGTCCTTATGAGAAGTGGAATCAGGAGATCACTAGCCTTGGTGCTAGTGGTTAGAATGCAGTATTGCAAGCTAACTCTGCCCATAGCCAGGCATTTGATCCTGACCAGCTCAAAGTTGACTGAGCCTTCCATCCTTCTGAGTTTGGTAAAATAAGAACCTAGATTGTTGGGGCAATATGCTGACATATATAAACTGCTCAGAGAGTGCTATTGCTTATCTGACCCTGCATAAGATGACTGACCTAACATATATTATCAAGACCTGGCTGGGCCAAGATTGGGGAGTGGTGGTGGCTTACTCTGAAACATGCCCAGGGGGTACCAATTCTAAGCCAGAGTGGGGAATTCCTACTGTTTTCTTAAGATCTGCAGGAGCTGATCTGTAACCAACTGTGTTTGAGTCACAATTGTGAGTCTAGGTCTTAAGACTCAATAGAGAGTTCTGCTACTTTGCTCATCGCCTTGCTGTTTGGCATCCTCCCTGCTTCCTCTGCTCAGTGCCACCTCTGAATTTGTAATGATCTATGATTTGGGAGGATTTTAATCTGCCATCCTTGGGGACAGATTTAAAAGGCAGTGTAGGAATTCGTGACCACCTGGGATTTGACTTAAGTTTATTGCAGAGCCAATCCCCAGGACAGGTCATAGGTTAGTCTGTTTTTATTTTTGAGATAATGGTGATGTGATTTTGTGGTAAACAGATCACTCCTTGATGATGCTGGTCTTTTATTTTTTTAATGATGTATAGTTATTTTTTGTTTTTTGGTTAATGCTTATTCTTGTTGTATGTTGCCCAGTCATATTGTTTGAATTAGGCTTAAAATGAATAAATAAACTTCCTGCGAGGAATATTGTGCATTGTACAGGAAGAACATCAACTCATATTTGTAAGAAATGCCTCAACGTTTCATATAAGGCCTTAGATTTGGAAATATCATTACTATGGTCACAAGTTTCCAATATCATGTAGAAATAGAAAACTAGTGAGACAGAGGCATACTCCCTCATTTTTAGTTTCAAATAATTAAAAGGAAACTAGCCCATATTTGATAACTTGCTGAAAACAATCTAGACAAATTAAAATAAGTAGGTAAATTTTATATATCGAGAGGTCTATGGGATATTCAGAGTTGTCTTAGGACTTACCTGAGTAGTCAATAAAGTGCAAACTGAAAATGATCTTGTGCATTGGTAATGCTTAAGGATTTGAAATCCAGCAATAGGACTATTCAAGCTCCTACCCAAATGCTTTGCTTAATAGGAGTGAAACACTGTCTGGAATATTACCTTCTGTGAAACTAAATATAGAAATCTTAAGAGAGGTTAAAGGTTTGTGCCAGTAAAGTGTATGGAGTTTCCATGCCTCTCCACTCAGCAAAATGGGTAGAGAAATTGTAATTGAAAAATTTGCCTTGCCTACCAACTTTCTTTCAAGAACTGGAAACTATTTATACATTTGGAATTCAACTGTATAGCTCCAGCTATACATATTTCTTGACAGAAGTGATTTTCTGGCTGCTAATTTTACTACAGTATTTTTCCCTACACACGTTTTTGCTTTTGAAAATGAAACCAGAATGTGTCAGTCACAAGTGATCCTTATACAAATCCAGCTGGCTTCAAGAGGGTGAAGAGTAATTCAAACACAGCTGCAATCCTATGCAACCTGGCCTTCTGAATAAACTGGTACAATATAAGACTGGAATATGTGTGCTGCATTTTCAATGGGCATATATATATATATATATATATATAATCACAATTTTAAATATCTCTTTCACATCTGTCATATCCTCTCCTAGTTCTGAGGAAATTGATGATACTTTTGACCAGTCAGTGAATTGTGTTTTACTTTACAGAAGATGATGCAAGATTTTAAAGAGAAAAATGTGGTCTGCATGACTTTTTGAGGAAGCTACTATTCCTGGCGAAAACATAAGAGTCTACTGTAGTGGGAAGAAGGAGGAAGTATTTGAAATTATGACTCATTAATTCAGGGCCAAACTATGGTTGTACCGCACCCCATCTGAATGTGCTCTCCTGATAAGTTTGCACCTGTCAGGTTCAGAAATAGTTACATAATGATATATACTTTACATGTAATGCTAAAGTTTGTTTGGCTTACCATTTATTTATTCTTGCTCTTAGTTACAGAAAACCTCAATGCAAAATATATTTGCTGAAAGTATACTGAATTCATGGCCCATCAAGACACAAAGAACACAACACAATGAAGGATTAAGCAGAACCAACTTATGAAATAAACCTTTTTCCTTGTAATACAGATGAATCCAGAATATTCTCAGAATATCTCAACTGAAAGGAAGCAGACTTGCCCGCATAACAATAGTGCAGCATTTTAGAATTCAATCTGAAGGGCCTGATATGGTAGTATGCTTTTAGGATGTGTCATTTAATGAGGTGAACATTAGTTTTTTTCAATTTCTTTCAATGAGGGTTTCTAAAAATATGTGTTTTTACATGAAGAATTCAAACTGCTGTTATTTTTGCAATTGTACAATGTTTAGCTTGGTATGGTAAATCCATGTTTGATCATATAATCCACCAAAGTCTCTTATAATGTAAATACTGTTAACTTTATCTTGTCAAAATTACACCTTGTGCTACAAAAATCAAAGTTTTTTTCTCCATGAATCTTATCTAGCTAAGCAAAAAATAATCCATGCAATCATAAATTAACACCAGAAAGCAATTATCTGAGTTACAAAAATATTTAAGCAAGTTTCATAAAGTCTTGTTTTGATTTGTTCTTTGACATCAGCCAGTGACTTGCTTCTTGGCCTCTGATATAACCCTCACACTTCTTCTGTATATACTCTGCTACCTGTCTCTGTGATCTCTCTATTGATTGGGCTTGACAGGGCCACTGTGGTACTTACATTGGTTCATCAATGAACTGCTTTCTTTCTGCTGTAGTCAGTTTGCACATCAAAAGTGGCTCATATACACCTTCAGACCACTCAATCACTTCCAGCAGAGTGGATGCTCTGGCATTGATTAAAGGCTTTTTTCTTGCACGTACAGAAAAATCTCCCAGTGCATCATCGTCTGCACCCCTCAAGTCAATGATCTTTTGTACACCAGCTCTCCTCTCTTGAATGTCATCTGAACACAAGACTGTCTGGATTATCATTTCACTGAAAACATACCATACTGCATGGTTGTCAAAACAGCATACACTACAGCCTTCTTTTGCAGTCTGACTTACTGCAGCTGGAATGTCACATGACATGGGACTTCAATCCAGTAATATTTTACTTTGATGTTGAACCAGCAAGGGTAGTACACACCAACCATGTCTTCCACTATCATTCTTAAGTTTTGGAGAGTTTTGCCTTTGAAGCCATGTTTTGAAACCTATATTTAACAAAGCCTATTTGCAGTTCTCAACCAGCATAAATGGCTTATGAGGCCAATTTCCAGAACAGCCAGTTTAGTGGGAAGTTCTCCTACCCTTATTGCCTGTGTGATCCTATATCCATACACTTGATCAGTAGAGAGATCCGTTACAACACTATCGCTCAGTGAAATGAGAGGCTCACCATTTGAAACTCTGGTGAATGATCAATATCAAGTTCTGTTGCAGTGTCTAGCATGTTGCCAATTTTACATGCCCAATTGTTAGACAAGGACTTCCCATACAATTTTGTGATTAAGTGCCCTAGGGGTAACTCATTTGTGTAGAGTATACACACAAATCAAATCAACTTCTAGTCAAGCTTAACCTCTATCCAGTGTTTACGGTTTACTAGGATTTGTATGCCGCCCACTCTCGAGACTCAGGGTGGCTTACGGATAAAAACAGGGAGGGGGAACATATAAAAAATTAAAAAGAACAGACATTAAAATTGCACAACATTCATATAGCTTAGGATGAGGCTGGATAAATCAACAGCCCCAGGCCTGCCGGAACAGCCAGTGTATGGCACCACCTTCACAGCCAGTATTAATATTTGTAGACTCTCCTCCAATTTTTGTCAATGAATTTCTTCTTCATGAAATATACCAGATTATCTGCAATCACTTTAACAGGTTTTCCTGTTTTTGAGTCTTTCTCTGGAGTGAAATGATAAAGGTATCTTCCACCTGGCTCACTGCACACAGATTAATGTTCTTTGATGATACTAGGTAATTCCTGGTTTGAAGTGTTTGCTTTCAGCGTAACTTTATTTGCATCCATATGGCTGCCTAAGATGATGCATTCTATTTTGCCCTTCTTACAGAGTCTATCAAATTCTTGATCTAGTGACTTCATAATTTTTTCCAGGACATTGTAATTGTGATCAATTACAAGTCTCTTGTCTTCTTTGGTAATCAAACCAACATCTATGAAGGTGGCTGTGGCACATAGACCAACACTGTATTTTATGCTCTGCTCTGAATAGTGACTTTTGTTATTTCTAATCTATTGTATTCTGTATTTTCTTTTGAAGTAGAGGGCACATGTGTTTGGTCTAAGGCCTCTTCGTAACTTCCATCACATTCCTCTTCATCTTCATCATCTATTGTCTGTCCTTCATTTTCATTGTAAGAGATAATTACTTCATTTGTCAGTATTGAAATGTCTGGAATACTTATATTTAGTGAGCCTTTGTCTCTCATTGCCTTGCCACTTTTGCCTTTTGCCTAGTCATTTCTGCTTGGGCACATCTGGCAAATCAATCTGGTACAATCCAAAAGACCAATCTTGTCTCTCTGACCCTTAATGAAAGCAAGTTCCTTCAATGGTATCTTTGTCTCCTTAGGACAGGGACAGTTAATGTGGGCTTCTTTTTTGCAGTCAGCAGGGCAGCCAAATTTGGCACACAGGACAATTTGACACTTGCTGTTGAGGATGTCAAACAGTTTGTCAAGTTTCACAGTGAAAATCTCTTTGACATCTAGCTTTCTTCTACCAAGAGATGTTTTTGGCTTGATCCCAGCTCTCTTGGATCTTTTTCAAGAGTGTCTCTCGTAAATTTACAACAGGAGTCATAAAAGAACTGTTCACTCTTTCCCACTTTTCAAGTACTTTTGGATATATGTCTCTTGCTAGACTGGTTGCTGGGTAGTTTCTAGCATTATCACTACTTTGTTCTTTTAACAGTTGGCCATATCTTAGAATGTCTCGCAATATTGGGAGTTCAGATAGCAACAAGTCTCTGCCAGCCCCTATTAGGTTGCTTTTATGAGTGAATGTTCCCAGTCTTATTCTTTTTTAGAATCCATTACAGATCAGTTATCACTCTCATAGGAAACGAGCCGCAGTATTCACTCTCTCAGACAAAATAACGTTGAACAAAAAGAGAAAGACAGCCGAACCTGTGAAATGAAATAAACAAAATGTTTAAAAGTTATGATATTTATGTAGTTATTTATCAAGCACATAAATTATATTAAAGTAACCAGAATATATTTACAATCCCCAAGGTATGTCACAACCTTTGAGCACCCCTTGTGTTTGGAAATTGGTGGCCTTTCAACTCCGGGGGTCCTTGGATGAAACCGATTATCTGGATTCCTTTCAGGCCTGGTTACAGCACGGAAACTGCTTTGGTCGCACTGATCGATGATCTCTGGCGAGCCAGGGATAGGGGTCACCCCTCTATCCTAGTGCTCCTTGATCTCTCAGCGGCCTTCGATCCCATTGACCATGGTATCCTTCTGCGACGGTTGTGGGAGGTGGGAGTGGGAGGCACCGTTCTTCAGTGGTTCTCCTTCTACCTCTCAGACAGGTCGCAGTCGGTGTTGGTTGGAGGACACAGGTCGACCCCTAGGCCCCTCAAATATGGGGTGCCGCAGGGTTCG